GGGCCATCCTCCACTGCACTCCCTGGCCACAGCAGAGAGCTGGCCTGGAAGAGGAGCAACCGGGACAGACTCCAGCGCCCCGACCGGGACTAGAACCCGGTGTGCCGGCACCGCAGGCAGAGGATTAGCCTATTGAGCTGCGGCACTGGCTAAAGTAGTTTCTTTTGTAGATGGTAAATGCTAAAAGTTTCAAAATCTTCACACTCTAAGGATATTTTGAACTCTACCTTACATATAGTAAGTCAGCGAGCATACCTACTTTTTGTAGGGGGTTTTGCTATCTGCACCTTGTAGGCACTTGACAAATACTGATGGAGTGATACTTAATGCAAAGCCGTTGCAGCCAATTGGTGACTTGGGGGCAAGGTGAGTGAAAATCAGAGGAGTGAGAAATTGCCTCAAGCTCCAGCGGGATCCAGGCCTGCACGTCTACAAACAAACCTAATTAGCTGTGCCTGTGCCAGCAGCCCCAGTCAGACACATCTGGAGGGAAGAACGTGGAGGGAGGCTAAATTGGTTTGCCCAAGTGAACGAGCCTCTATGCAGGTGCACCTGCATAGGGACTGATTGTGCCTGAGATCCATTCAGTGAGGTTGATTGCAAGTATCTAAGCAATTTCTAATAGAATTCGGCAAAAGCCCCAGGGGGTATGGTCAGTGAGTACCATGGCAAGACAAGCAGCAGGTGGAGTTGCTAGTTGGCAGCTCCAGGTGCCTATACCCAGTAAGCACTGTCATGGCTGAGAGGCACTGTCCAGTCTTTGCTAAGTTTATTTATCAGCAGCCCTGAAGCACTTAGCTGCTTCCATTCCCTTGCTCTTAGCAAGTCCCTTTGGGTTGTCAATTACTTAGAGAAGCTTGGGCAGTCAGGCTTGATAGAGGGTCCTCACTTTGGTTTAGAGAAATTAGAGGTGGATCTCTTGCTCAAATATTTTGGAAATGTTTAAAGTAAGTATGTGCAGGGGTAGAGGGGTGTCAAGGATTTTGCTACAATGACTGGATCTGATTGCCAGCTCTGCCATTTACTACTGACTATATGACTTTGGCAGAGTTTCTTAAAGATTTCAAGCCTCAATTTTCTCGTAAGGGTAATGAGCTACTAATAAGTGTTGTGGACAGTTAGATCCTCCCAGAATTTTGATATCAAACCTCCAACTCCCATTCCCTTAGAATTTAATTATACTTGGGGATAGGGTCTTCAGATATAAATCAAATTGAAATGAGTTCGTTAGGGTGGGTCATAACACCATTTGAGGCCGGTGCTGTGGCTCAATAAGCTAATCCTCCGCCTGCGGCGCCGGCACCCCGGGTTCTAGTCCCGGTCGGGGCACTGGATTCTGTCCCGGTTGCCCCTCTTCCAGGCCAGCTCTCTGCTGTGGCCAGGGAGTGCAGTGGAGGATGGCCCAAGTGCTTGGGCCCTGCACCCACATGAGAGACCAGGAGAAGCACCTGGCTCCTGGCTTCAGATTGGCACGGTGTGCTGGCTGCAGCGTGCCGGCCGCAGCGGCCACTGGGGGGTGAACCAACAGAAAAGGAAGACCTTTCTCTCTGTCTCTCTCTCTCACTGTCCACTCTGCCTGTTAAAAATAAAAAAAATTTTAAAAATTGGAAAAAATAAAAATAAATAAACCTTCTTATAAGAAGGGTCTGGGACACAGACACACATACAGAGATGGCCACGCGAGGACACAGGGAGAAGGCAGTCACGTGTCCACAGCCACGGACAGAGACCTTGGGAGGCAACAGCACTGATTTCAGACCTAGTCATCTAGATTTCTGTGGTTTAAGCCACTTCATCTGTGTGACATGGTTGTGGCAGCCCTGGCAAACTAATACAATAAGTGCCCAAAATGTCTGTAGGCATTGGTAAGGGTAATATGTACAAAAGTCTGAGAACCATTCCTGGCACACAGACTAGGGACCTGTTCTTTATGTGGTGGTTTATGCCTGCCTCGCAGAGTTGCTGGGAGTGTGAGGTCAGATGCTGGAGAGAGCACTTGGCACACCAGCAGGTGCACATTGCTATCACTGAAGAAGGGTAAGCATTTACCATCTCCTCTCCCTAAGTGGGCAGGTACTCCGAAAAGTTAGCGGAAAAAAGGAATTAAAAGATATGTATACTTTGAACCCCCCAAAAATGAAAGCCATGCATAGTTTTTCATAATACATGTTTTCCATAAATTTTTGAAGACTTCTCTATGCATGTATTACAAAAGTTTTTGTGCCAACATAAACCTATTAATTCTATTTCCCATTGAAATTTTTAAGTACCCTTGTGTGTTTGATGTTAACTCATTGAGCACCTCCATTGTGAAGCACACTGAGGAGTAGAGAGGATATTCTACTCTCATTTGTTACCTCTGCTCCTACCAGACTCATCCTCAACTCTTTTCTGAGTTGTAGTCCCGGTAGTGTATGGTTATTGAACGCCATAGTAGTTACAAATATGCTTTCCGGGAATTTACTTATAAATTCTTTTCTTCTATTCTACACAATCTTGGGGGGTAGCGTCCTGTGTTTCCCAGTTACCGACTTTTTCTCTGGCCAAGGAGGTTTCAGATGACACTGCCAATGCACAGGAGAATTTTGTTTTGATCTCCAGGGAGATATAGGCCTTTAGCTTGAGAGACAAAGTTAACTATGATGTTTATCCTCTGGAGGAATACTGATTAATTTAAAGTATGAATCAAAGGTGGTCTTTTTTATTTCGTTGTAGTAAGAATACTTAATAGGAGATCAATCTTAACAGATTTTAAATGTACATTTCAGAATTATTACTGCAGGCATAGTGTTGTACGGAAGATCTGCAGAACTTATGCGTCTTGCATAGTTGAGACCTTATGCCTGATGATTAGCAACCCCCACCCCCCTCCCCACTCTTGGCAACCCCAGTTCTATTTTCTGTCTCCTTAAGTTTGACAGTTTCAGATTCCTAGGATAAGTGGAGTCATGCAGCATTTGTCCCCTGTGCCTGGCTTATTTCATTTTATGTAACATCCCCCAGGTTCATCCATGTTTTCCAGTGAGGCAAGGTTTTCTGCCCTTTCAATTGTAAAAGCAGTCAAAGTCAAGCATGCAAAAGGTTGGCAGCTAGGGGCCTGGTGCCAGAAAATTCCACGGACAGGTCCTGAGTGACACAGCCTGGCCTGGCCCCTCCCACCAGTAATTCTCACACCTCTTCTCTTAGTGGTTCTAGATGAGATGCCAGAGTTGATAAATGAGGGTGTAGGGTGCCTGGGGGCGGGACTGGCTGGGCAGACATTGTCAGAGTGCTGATGCCAGCAGGACATTCCTTGAAGCGTCACATATAATCTCACACATATCCACAAACTTTGAATTATATCCAGACTCACTATGGATGTAAAATAATAGTTTAAGCTTTTTATGGAGAAGTAACACAGGAAGCACTGGAGGGGTCTCATGTGCTGTCCAGCACACACTTTTCTATCTGGACGGAGGGGTCGTGGAAACAGTGAGGGAGACAGGTCTCAGCATCCTCAAATCCGTGCCTTTCTGAGTGCTGTCACTCCCGTCCTGGGCTATCAGTGCTGGCTACGTCCATGGCTTCAGCAGGGCGGCAACGGAAGTCTTCTGAAATGTTAAATGATGATTCCAGATTGGAGCCACTTGAGAGATTTTAAGTTGAAGAGGACTCTCTGGAGGACAGAGCAATTCTGAGATGGAAGTCACAAAGGTATATTTTTATGCAGGGGCTGCTCATTTCAGCTGTGCCAGAGTTTCTCCAGGGACTGCCTGTGGTTCAGGTGAGTGAGGGGAGAGAAATCACTCATCTCGCTGCCCGGCTTTCTTTGTGAATCTCTGTACTGAATCTTTGGTGCTGAGTCTCAATGGCAGATTTGCTTAATGACCTCACACCACAGGGATCCAGGGATGTGACTGGGTGGGGCCAGGCACCTTTCACTGTATGAAGACCCCTGAGTCTGCTCACCCTGGCTCTGCCTGGTACCCACCCTTCAGCTAACACTGATAGTCACTTGGCTCCCAGCATCCTCAGACACAGGGCCACAGAAGTGAACAAGAAGAATTTATACCAGTGCTGTGCCCATCCCTGAAGCGTACTGTGCTGCAGGGAGGCCTAAGCCAATGCAAACAAAGTAAAACAGGACCCCTTGGCTTGGCAAGGCTTTTAGATGAGGCTTGCTTTCTTGCATGTTTGGCCAAGCCTTGCAAGCCATCAGCTGTCCATCCAGACCTCCGGGGATCTGTGCCAAATGAACATCAAGGCCAGAGCTATGGGCAGGCTGCTGTAGAGGTGAGGTGTCCTCTGCCAGGGTATAGATTCATCAGCAACTCCAAAGAAGGACACAATGCCTTGGACTTTGCTCCTTTGCTTTTGTAAAATGGGTGTTGGAGGACATTGGAAAGGAGATGAACTAGGGGGATTCTTCTCCTAAACACCTCCTAAATGGAAACACATCTGTTATGTCTCTTCTCTGTAAGGAACTACTCTGGACTTCCGGAAGCACAGAGACCAGAGCAATCAATACAGGCCCTGCCCTAAAGGACTTGGTTATTGAAAGTGTGGATTAGTGTCCTGTTCACAGGTGGCTAAGCTTTGCCAGGTCAGTGGAAAGCCATCGGGTGGGAAGAGAGGTTCCAGGCAAGGAGTTTAGAGAAGTGTGTGCAGGGCGGCTCAGGCACAGCAGGGAATACAGACACAGTCCTGTGAGTACCTCGTCTTGTACAAGTCTCTGGAGGGAGGGTCAGGTTGTATCCCTAACTGCAAACTATCGGTTTCTCAGGCTGCATTGAGAGTTCGCACATGCATTTCTCCTTTGCCACTAACTGTGTGTGCTTAGGTATAGGGAGCTGGCAGGGGCTGCAGTGCCCTGGGAAGGACCAGGTAGAGGACTTTGGCATCAGACAGGGTGTGTTGGACAGGCCAGCCCCTGTCCCTGTTTCTCCTTGAGCTCAGGATGCTGCAGGTAGCCCTTAGGTTGCTGGGTTTTCTTTCTTTCTTTCTGTCTTTCAACGGACAGATACCTTTGGGGTCCTGGTTGATTTTCCTAGCAAATCACAGATTGTGTGACTCTAAATATGGAATCCAAGTTTTCTGAATTTCAAGAAAATAAGGACCAAGATTTCAGCAACTAGCGCCCCTGCAAAACTCAGGGGTCCAACAGAGAAGAGGCTGTCCATGGGGTGCCCACAGGCCCCTTCCTATGCACCAGACACTTTGCAGCAGGAAAAAAAAAAAAAAAAGACTATCCCTCCCGCGGCCGCCCTGAGCCCCTGCCCGGGTGTCCGCTGCTTGGACACAGCTTGAGCCACCTGGACACGGCGGCCGGCGGGACCGCGTGATGGATGCGGCGGCAAGGCTCCGGGCTGTGGGCGCGGCGTCCCCTCGGCTGCAGTCTCCTCGGCGGTCCCCTCCGCGGCCCCCTCCCCAGCCCCTGCCCGAGCAGCCGGGCAGCCGGAGCATGCGCCGTGCGCCGGCCGGAGGCGGCGGGGAGGCAGCGCGCAGCACTCGGGTCCCCTTCCTGCACCCAGCCGCCAGTTGCCGGTTGCTAAGCAGTTATCATTGTTTCTGTGGCGATTGCAGAGGCTGTTGCTAATTGGAGAAGCCCCACTAAGCAACAGCATCTTCCCCCTTCCGATCCTCTCCCTGCTGTTTGCATTTAAAAAAGAGCTGGTCTGCCCCTTCTACCACCCCCACCCTGCCCAAAATAGCCTTGGGAATTCGGAAGTATGGACTAAAAAGCACACTCCTTACCTGACCGGATTCTGGTGGCTCCAAACTCAGCGTCAGATCCCACCTGCCCCCGGTGGTGGTGAGCGCCCTGGACAGACCATGACTACCGCTAAGGAGCCCAGCGCTTCAGGGAAATCCGTGCAGCAGCAGGATCAGGTAACGCTGCTTCCCGGGTGTCCCCGGGGGGCGTGTGTGTGTGTGTGTGTGACACAGAATATTCATTTCTTGAATGATTATGTATTGGTGTGAGCCTGTAACCCCACAGCCACCAGGCTGGCAGGTAGAATAAAGTGCTGAGTGAGTGCGCTCAGTCTGCCTGTGTCCCTTCTCCCCTCACCCCAATCCCCCTGTTTCTATTTTTAAAGGATGCCCTGGCTTTATCAATAATGTACAGGTGCAGGGAGTCTCTGACCAGGTAAACTTGCTGTGAGACATCCTTGCACAAAAGGCCTTTCTCTTTAGAGCTGCCTCCTTTAACCTGTGTTAGTTGTGAAGGTTCCCAACTACTTTGTAATTGGGGGGAGGGAGGGAGGCAGTGAAAAGCAGTCACCTTATTCTGATCCGCCGAGGGGACCTGGCTTTGGTCCTAAGACAAGTCCAGAGAAAATGAGCCGTATGCCAAGGACTTAGCTTTCCATGCCCGCTGTCCCCTCTCTTCCCTTTTTCCTCCAACCTTTTTTTTGAAGGTAGGGAGAGATCCTTGCTGCACATTCTGGGCAGATGGAGAGTGCTAACTCCTGCTCCACAGGCTGAACCTTGTCTCAGGAGGGCTGAGTAGCTCTCAGCTGAGCAGAGCAGGGTTAAGGGCATGGCCAAGGATGGCTGAGGTCTGCATCATGTCCTGCATGGGCAGAGGGCAGCTGCCTCCCCAGCCCTGAGGAGGCCCACTGTCTGCAGAGACCCGGAGTGCCCGGGAGCAAAGGTGAATCAGCAAGCCCAGTCTCAGTGTAGCTACTGTAATTCCTTCTTAGAGGATCTGGAGGGTTCTTGTCTTTTAATCGCTGCTCAGTTCACCTCAAGCGGATCATTAAAATAGATCTTGGGAGACACCAATAGATTTGCAAAACAGTGTGCTCAAGCAGCATAAATCAACAGCAGGAGCTGGTTTCTCCTGTGTATTTCCGAGTTGTCATTTAGCTTGCCATCCGCTACAGTGGGGGCCAAGATCAGAGACCCCTCTAGAGTTTTAGAAAGCAAAGAGCCTCTGCGGGGACATTGCTGTCACAGAATCCCACCATTAACTATTCAGAGTCATGGGTGAAAACAACTTTGGATGTGTATTTAGCGCCAATTCTGATTTTTTTAGGTCATTTTCCCAAAGCTCAGTTTTCAATAGAAAAGAGACCACCTTATTAGTTGTTTCCTCCTCCTCCTCCTCCTCCTCTCATTCTTTTTCTTCTCCAGAACTGAAATGTCATTTCATTTATTCTGGGAAGTAGATTTTGTGAATATGGATGGCTAACAATGCATTTATTTGGTGTGAGAGCTTATGTAAGGGTTAATGCTCAATATAGCTTATATTGCTTGACAGATTCAGAATAGACAAACCCAGACCTTTTCCTTTAAAAATAATTCTCCAAAATGCTTCCTGAATAAAGAAATAGTTCCACCCTAAATTAACATCCTATAACTCACTGGGTTGCCTCTTATTACAGTTTTCTTTCCTCTGCTGGGCATACAGACTTGAAGTAAGACTCAAGTAGAGTTTCTATGATGGGACAGAGATAATAATTATAAAAGAGCACATTGCTATTCATATGTCTACATCCAAGGATTAGGAGTTGGACCCAATTGAGATTATGTAAAAGAAGTTCTTTGTTTCCTGTGCTTTTTTTTTTTCCCCAATGCTTTCACATGCTAGGAGAATGGCAATGGTTAATGGGGTGGTGGTTTTTGAGGGTATTCAAGTCTTTGCTTTGATTTTATATCTTCTGCTCATTGGGAATAATCAAAGCCATGATCAATTGTGTAATACATAAACTTGTATCAACTGAAGACCAGAGGCAGCCATGGCTGATGGGATATCCAGAAGCAGATGTCTATCAAATACAGTTGGGAAGTCCTTTGCCCTCCATTCTCAAGTGCCATCTTCTTGTCTCTGAAAAACTCCTAGGGCCAACCTGAGAAGTTTAACAAACAGAGGGTCACCAGTGGGGATAGGGTAAGCGAATCGAAACAGGGCAGAGGACAGATATCTCACATTTAAAATGTGTGTACCTTTAAGGGACTTCAGCTAGAATCTTGACAAACTGCTCCAATAATAAACAGGTAGATAAAATACCCATGTAAAAAATTCCTAAATACTGTTTCTTATTCCTTCACTAATAATAAGGTACTCTAAAAGATTTATTAAAATTTGAATTGGAAGATATTTTTGTTCTGCTGCAAGTTTTTTCCAAATTCATCTACTTTTTCCATGAACTTTTTGTAAATCTTGTGTATCGTTTTATAAAGACACTAAAGCTATTTATTCAGTGTGCTTAGGCTGCAACGCTCTTATTGAGCTCTCTGATTCTTTACTTCTTCTTTTTTCTTTGTTGCTAATGGAACTTGGGGGATACCCTCATGCCTGGTTTTATAGAAATTTATAGGGAGACCATGAAAAAAATAAGTTCCTTTTTTTTAAAAGAGAGAAAGAGCATATTGCTGCTTTATGGCTTGGTTTAACTTGAGAACCATTTAATTGTACTAACTCAGTGACTTCCTCTCCATTGCCAAGTGTTATTTCTTATGAGAAGGATGATGGTGCCACCCTCTCTTCTATGGGGAAGTGTTGATGGAGGATTCGGATTTAATGTAGCCTGAAACTTACTTCCAACACTCTAGGAATTGTTTGGTCAGCACAAGGGACTTACCCCTTATTTCCAGGCAAGCTAATGGAGGGGTGTTACCACTTGTGTGCCTGCCTTGGCTGCTGGGAGCCAGGCAGGTGGATGGTGGACAGAAATAACTGTTGTATCCTGACAATTACTATGCACTGATGGAAAAAAATTAAGAGAAAATATAGAACCAAGTGACTTTGCCTATTAATTAGAGGTCTCTATGTTTTCCAGATTTTTTCCCTAAAATAGTACTAAAAATATATAAATATCTGTAAAGAGATGCAGGAGTTGTTTTGTTTAGAAATGAAGCTGCATGAATACATTGGAAGAACAAGGAGATACATTCTAGAAGACCATGATTTTTTTCTCTTTGGAGATACAAAAATGTATTTTATTTTTAAATATAATTTATTTGAAAGGGAAATAGAGAGGAGAGTTAGAGAGACAGACAGGGAGAGAAACGAGTGAGGGAAAGAGAGAGAGCTTCCCTCCACTGGTTAACTCCCCAAGTGCAGCAACTCCGTCCTGGCCTCCTATGTGGGTGGCAGGGACCCAAATGCTGGGCCATCACTGCTGCCTCCCAAGGTGTGCATTAGCAGGAAGCTGGGTCAGAAACAGAAGAGCCAGCACTCAAATCAGGCAGTCTGAAACAGAATGCAGGTGTCCTGAGCCATGGCTCACCTGCCATGCCACCTGGCCTGCCCTTGAACTTTCATTTGTTTTTAAATGAAGTATTATCAGCCTAGAGATGTTTGAAAACCATGTATCAGTGCAGCGGGTTAAAGCCCTGGCCTAAAGCGCCAGCATCCCATGTGGGTGCTGGTTCTAGTCCCAGCTGCTCCTCTTCTGATCTAACTCTCTGCTATGGGATAGCAGTAGAAGATTGCCCAAGTCCTTGGACCCCTGCACCCATGTTGGAGACCCGGAAGAAAGTCCCAGCTCCTGGCTTTGGATCAGCGCAGCTCTGGCCTTTGTGGCCACCTGGAGAGTGAACCAGCGGATGGAAGACCTCTCTCTCTGTCTCTTCCTCTCTCTGTTAACTATTTCAAATAAATAAAATAAATCTTAAAAAAAAAAAAGAAGGAAAACCATGGATCTTTTACTCTGAATTAATTGATATTAATATGATCTTTTACTCTGAATTAATTGATAATTATAATTGACTCCAGACCCAATCAGATGACCCTGAAACTCCTCAGTGAAAACTGAATCTGCATTGCTGACACCCAGTTTCACCTTGCACACAGAGTGAAGCCCAGTTTGGTTTCAATTTTGTGTGTTCTCAGAAGCACTAGACCCTTCCTGAGAGAACTAAATGAAGAGATTTTTTTTCTCTTAGAATATGTAAAAAAAAATGATTTATTTTAACTTGTACTGTTCCCATTTCAAATTATTTAAAATTGAAAATTAATCCTCCATGCTTCCAATGAGCCATAAAGAATGTTTTGCTCATCTGTTGAACCTGGATAAGAATCTAGTGCCATGTGGTGTACTGTAGTGTGTGCATGTGTGTGCACACACACATACCAAATGCATGCTCACGTGCAGGCCTGTTGTGTCACAAAAGAGCAAGAGGCTGGAAGAGACTGTACAGATACAAGCAATGTCCTTATACTCTTTTGCTCAGGAATCCCAAATATGTGAGAATATTGCTCCCCTCCAACAAGGCCTCTTCTCATTTGGAAATAGCCTGTATTCTGTGGCTAGCTAGGAACTTTTGCCCTATGTTAGTTTCAGTCACATCTTTGCCTTCCTTAGATCTGAACATTGACTCTCTGATCAAACCTTGCATATATGACCATTATATTTTGTTGCCTCTGCAAGCTGCTCAAGTCCTAATAGATAGCCCATGATTGGATCAGGGTAGGCAAGTAGTATCTATTATTCTATAGAATAATACTAATCTTAAATCATATTAGTCTATTAAATCATAGTGTTGCCTAATAAATTATTTACTAGAATATTGGTAATGATAATGCCACTGTAAAAGTTTTTTTCTGGAATGAAAAAAAATGTATTACATGGTTGGTAGAGTGAGCATTAAAATGCATGTTCCTTAGAATTCTGGAAGATGCTAGGTGACTTCCCAAAGGGCACTCAGGCAGTGATTGGAAATATGACATTCCCACTCACTGCTCTTTCCATTCAACCTTGTTGCTGCTGGCATACTAGAATTATAAACTGAAAGAGGGGATTAAGCTTTGGCTAGTCATGCTACTTAATTTTTTCTATAACTGTTAAGGAAAAGGCAATATGAACTCCACTTGTAAGGTACATGTGATGTTAGATGGGATAAGGAAGCAGGACCAAACCCAAGAAAACAAAATTCACTAA